TATTCTATTCTATTCTATTCTATTCTATTCTATTCTATTCTATTCTATTCTATTCTATTATTATCTGCTACATTGTCCTACAGTCAGTGATTACTTCAGCTTCAACTGCAATAATACAAGAGCACACAATGGATACAAACACAATGTAAACCACTCCAACCTTGATTGCAGAAAGTATGATTTTAGCAATAGAGTAGTCAATGCCTGGATTGCATTACCTGACTCTGTTGTTACATCCTCTAAGCCCACACCTTTAACCTCAAACTATCCACTATTGACCTCACCCTATTCCTAAGACGTCTGTAAGGGGCGTGCATAAGTGCACAACATGCCTATCATCCCTGTCCTTTTGTCTCCATTCATTCATATCTATTTCCTGTATTCTTACTTGTGTTTATACTTATACCTATTACCTTGTAAGCATTTGACAAATCAAATCAAATCAAATAAATCAAATAAATAAATAAACCATATTTCATATTCTCAGAAAGTCTAGAAACTAGATTTTTTTTAGAATTTGCAGTTAGTCATCTTGCCAACAGTGAATGTCTTAGTTTGGAATATTAACAAACAAAATTATAATCTCAGATATAATCCTAGCTAAGAAAAGCAAATCAAAAACTCTTACTGAATGCCCTAGATAGAAAAAAAATGCAAGTTATTTCCTTTTTATGATGGAAGTTTTATTATGGAAGTGAATTTTCTATACAGCTGTACTTCTTCCCTAGACTGAAATTCAGATGTATTGAAAAGTTGAAGGAACAAAACTCAAAACTATTTTATTCAGGCAGATATTATATTGGCATTGTACTTTATGCAGTGTGTTTGGCTTAAGCATAAGAGACTCATTGAAGCAATGAAAAAGAAAATAATATGTTTTCATATCCCCAAAACTGATCTTAATTCTCTCACGAATGGTCAGAACAATATTCAAGAGTAGAACCCTACAATCTTTTTCCAACAGCTTGCAAGTTTATTGCCTGTGCTGCATTAATTTATCCATTGCCTTGGTTTTCTTTGTCCCAGTCAAATTTTACTTCTTTTGCAATCAATTTTTTACACTCAAATCAAATTTTAAAACTTCCACAGAATCTGTGAATACCTCATTTAGGGCACAGTACAAAAACCTGGTGTGATTATGATATAATTTCCAGAAAGCTGAAAATATAATTTTAGAAATTAAAAATGTTCATTATTAACTCAAAAGATGATATATTTTCAGTTAAAATCAGTTAAAATTTTGTGGAAAATAGTTCATAGGATTTTATACATTGTATTCATATTCAGAAATGAGTAGATTAATGCAAGCAATTAGATCTTCAAAGACAAAGAAGGAGCTACTTTAAAAAAAATAAATGTTATAATCAGCAATTGTTGATGCACATAGTAGACCAGAGATAAGTAAAGAATATATTAATATATATCTTGAAAACTAAATAATCAAAGCAGATTTAGATACTATTTATTGACATATCCAATTTAGAAACCATCCATCTCATTCAAAGAATGACTTATAGAAAACATATTAATACTCATTTTGAAAAATATTTAAGAAGTAATCCTCAAAGGCCTAAGGAGTTCTACTGAGTAAGTTATTTCATTATATTATGAGGGCAATGACTAATACTGAAATATAATTCTCAATATAACAGTAATGACCAACACGAAGAAAGTTGAAATATATCCCAAAGTAGCTCTTGGGAAATTCTCCTTTAATTTACAAGTATCCCTGAATCCTTTCTTCCTTGCTAGAAAGGGCAAAATAGATGTGCCTAGGAAATAAGTGTGCCTCTGAGAAACCTGATGTGCAATAATTATACCTTTAATTAAAGACATGTGTTTGTTGCACTCACAACATCCTAGACCACCAAGTCAGGTTCCAGCTAATAAAGCTGAACTTCTAAGTTTTAATTGATACCATTTATCTATATTTTTATTATCCAAGGGAAATTTCAATACCTGAACTTTTTAAAATGTCACAGATTAAAGCTTTTATCAGGATTTATTCTGCATTAATACTGTTGTTCATATGACCTTTAATATTTCTTATGGATTTTTTGTTCTGCAAAAACATTAGAAAAGGTATAATTCTTTTAAAAATTCAGAGTATGTTGATATACCTTCAATATGTGCATTTGTATACTTTTATGTAAACTTGATTTCATTTCATCTTTCATGTTCAGTACAGTTTTATCAATAAACAGACTATTCTTATTCAATACCCTTTTTCTCCTATTCTTAATTATGAAAATTAAAGATTGTACTATTCTCACAGGGTATTTTCTTCTTTTTTTCTCATAGTATTCACAGCAACCCTATACTGAAATGTGAAGATATTCTATTTATACAAATATATATGATTCCTTCAAAGCCTTTTTCATAAGAATTATAGAACACACAAGGAAAGTAAAGGAAAGGAAAGGAAAGGAAAGGAAAGGAAAGGAAAGGATCAGGCCTTGAGTTTGATACCTCTGCTCTTGAGGATATCATATATTTTCATTTTGTTCTCTAATCCATATGCAAGTCTTTCTGTCTTGTCTTGTAAATCTGACTATGTATTTTTCCATGATTCTTTGTGCCACTTGTAGCTTTTGTGTTAATTGTGAGGTTAGTGTCCATGTTTCACTGACATATGTTAGACTTAGATAGCACACACTGATCAAAAACTTTTCCCAGCATCGGAGGAGGTTGTTCTTGAAAATTCTGCTTAGTTTGCCAAATGACTGCCAACCACATTTAACATGCCAGTCTATTTATTTGTATCCCCTACCATTGAGATCCATTGGCCAAGGCAAATGTGCTGTTATTTTTGTTAGTTGTGAAGTTGTGTCTGACCCTTCATGACTCCATGGACAACATTCCTCCAGGCCTTCTTCTCCTCTACTATCTCCTAGAGTCCATTTAAGCTCACGCCTACTGCTTCAGTGACTCCATCCAGCCACCTCATTCTCTGTCATCCCATTCTTCTTTTGCTCTCAATCATTCCCAGCATTAGGCTCTTCTCCAGTGAGTCCTTCCTTCTCATTAGTTGACCAAATATTTGAGTTTCATCTTCAGGATCTGGCCTTCTAAAGAGCAGTCAGGGTTAATCTCCTCTAGGACTGACCAGTTTGATTGCCTTGCAGTCCAAGGGACTCGCAGAAGTCTTCTCCAGCACCATAGTAAAAAGGCTTCAATCCTTTGGTGCTCAGCCTTTCCTATGGTCCACCTTTCACAGCCATACATTGAAACTGGGAAAACCATAGTTGACTATACGCAATTTTGTTGGCAGGGTGATATCTCTGCTTTTTAGTATGTTGTCTAGATTTGCCATAGCTTTTCTCCCCAAGAGCAAGCTTCCTTTAATTTCTTGGCTGCAGTCTCCATCTGCGGTGATCTTGGAGTCCAGGAAAATAAAATCTGTCACTACCTCCATTTCTTCCCCATCTATTTGCCAGGAATTGAGAGGGCCAGATGCCATGATCTTAGTTGTCTTAATATTGAGTTTAAAGTCAACTTTTGCACTCTCCTCCTTCACCCGCATCAAGAAGCTTTTTAGTTCCCTTCACTTTCTGGCATTAGAATGATATCATCTGCATATCTGAGGTTGTTGATATTTCTCCTGGCAATCTTAATTCCAGCTTTTGATTCATCTAGTCCTGCCTTTCTCATGATGTGCTCTACATATAAGTTAAATAAGCAGGGCAACAGTATACAGCCTTGCTGGACTCCTTTTCCAATTTTGAACCAATCAGTAGTTTCATGTCCAGTTCTCACTGTTGCTTCTTGACGCGCACATAGGTTTCTCAAGAGACAAATAAGATGGTCTGGTATTCCCCTCTCTTTAAGAACTTGCCACAATTTATTGTGATTCACACAATCAAAAGCTTTAGCATAGTCAATGAAGCAGAAGTAGATGTTTTTCTGGAACTCCCTGACTTTATCCATGATCCAGCGTATGTTGGCAATTTGATCTCTAGTTCCTCTGCTTCTTCGAAATCCTGCCTGTACTTCCAGTAGTTCTCGAACCATATAGTGCTGGAGTCTAGCTTGTAGGATTTTAAGCATAACTTTACTACCATGTGAAATGAGTGCAATGGTGCGATAGTTTGAATATTCTTTTGCATTGCCTTTCTTTGGAATTGGAATGTAAACTGACCTTTTCCAATCCTGTGGCCACTGTTGAGTTTTCCAAATTTGCTGGCAAATAGAGTATACTGCATCATCTTTTAAGATTTTGAATAGGTCAGCTGGAATACAGTCACCTCCACCAGCTTTGTTATTGCTCAGACTTCCTAAGGCCCATTTGACTTCACATTCCAGGATGTCTGGCTCAAGGTTAGTGACCACCCTCTCGTGGCTATCAGGGATGTTAAGCTCGTTCTTGTATAGTTCTTCTGTGTAGTTTAGCCACCTATTCTTAATCTCTTCTGTTAGGTCCCTGCCATTTTGATCCCTTATCATGCCCATCTTTGCATAAAACGTTCCCTTCGTAGCTTCAATTTTCTTGAAGAGATCTCTGGTCCTCCCTATTCTATTGTTTTCTTCTATTTTTTTTTTTTCATGTAAGAAGGCATTCCTATCTGTTCTAGCTATTCACTAGAATTTTGCACTCAACTTAGTGTATCTTTCTCTTTTTCCCTTGCCTTTCGCTTCCGTTCTTTCCTTAGCTATTTGCAAAGCTTCCTCAAACAGCCATTTTGCTTTCTTGCATTTCTTTTTTGCGGGGATGGTTTTAGTTGCTACCTCTTGTACAATGTTGTGAACATCCATCCATAGTTCTTCAGGCATTCTGTCTATCAGATCTAATTCCTTAAATCTATGTGTCACCTCTACTGTATATTCATCGGGGATATGATTTAGTTCATACCTGAGCGGCCTGGTGTTTTTCCCTACTTTCTTCAATTTAAGCCTAAATTTTGCAACAAGAAGCTCATGATCTGAGCCACAATCAACTCCTGGTCCTGTTTTTACTGACTGTTTAGAGCGTCTCCATCTTTGGCTGCAGAGCACATAGTCTATCTGATTTCTGTGTTGATAGTCCGGTGGTGTCCGTGTGTAGAGGCCGTCTCTTGGGTTGTTGGAAAAGAGTGTTTGCTATGACCATGGTTTTCTCTTGACAAAATTCAGCCTGTACCCTGCTTCATTTTATACTCCAAGGCCAAACTTGCCTGTTATTCCAATTACCTTTTGGCTTCCTACTTTAGCATTCCAATCCCCCATGATGATAAGGATATCATTTTTGGTGTTAATTCTACAAGATACTGTAGAGCTTCACAGAACTGGTCAATTTCATCCTCTTAAGCACCAGTGGTTGGTGCATAGACTTGGACCACTGTGATATTGAATGGTTTGCCTTTCAAACTGAGATCA